GTCTTAGGAGGAGGATTCATTTGGTCAATCCTTAGTCAACTTAAGCAATTGAGGACCTCTAGGAGTATGTTTTGAGTAAAATGAGAGAGAAAATTTTGGGGTGCAACAGACGCTATCAAATGATCTACCTGCTGTCATTTCTCTTTCAAGTATTTGGTTAGCATACAATGCTACCAAAGGATCTACCTGTTGTCCTTTTTCCTTCAGGTATTTGATAAGCATGTGGTGTTGTCAAAGGATCTACCTGAAGACCTCTCCTTTGAGTATTTGATTAGCATACGATTCTATCAAAGGATCTATATGTTGTCCTTTTCCCCCAGTAGGTCTGCCATATGATATTGTTCATGATATCAGAAGTCTTACTTTTTATCTTTCTTCCCAAGTGGGTCTGCCATCTGATATTATTTAGGGTATCAAAAGTCTTACTGTGTATCTTTTTTCCCAACAGGTCTACTTTTGACGTTTAGGCTTTGTCATTGACTTCACCTCTTAAATCACCAGACATTATTTGAGTACAGACACTTTTTGAGAACCTTGTATTGGCACCGTCGCTATGTTAAAAGCTATCACCATTCAAACATTCATTCATTAAACCCTTTCACCAGAAAAACAAAATTCTTTCCCCATCAGGTATCATAATTTTTTTAATAACTCACTGATATCATCTTCTCTTCAGGACAAATTCCAGGTCTTTGTATTTAATCTTCTTATACCTCGAATGTTCGAAAGGCTAGTGCCAATCTCACTTTCAAGATTAAGACGATTGAATAGGGACAGCTGTCATACCCCAACTTTGTCCTACCCTTATATTTTTATCTGGCTTATGCATATCATTCTCCTCATATGCATTTTTTCTATTAGGTTATACGATAAATTATGCATTGTCAATAAATTAGGCTTGGGATCGAGGATATTGAGAAATTAGGGTTTCTCTGTGCTTTTAGGCTCTCATCTTCATGCAAGGTTGGATCAACGTGTTTCTTCAACAATCATGGTCTGAAGCTAGGGTTTTGATTCATGACTATTATGGACTTCTTTCTTATCAGGCTACAAAGGTATCTTCCTCAAGGTTCATCAAGAGACAAAGCCATCTTTATCAAAGTTACATCAAGTACCAAGTGCAATAGGGTTGTGAATGTTAGGGTTTCATCAGGGATTCAAATAAAGGTCTTATGAGCTAGAGTTTGGTTTCTTCTTAACATCTCAATATCATTTCTTCATCAAAGTGCATCTCAAGAGGATTAGTGCTTTTGTCCATGGTGTTTGAGCTTGTTAAATCATCAATTGAGGCTCAGTGGATTAGGGTTTTGCTATGGCATTCTATACTTCAAGTCATATTCTGATCTCCATAGAATGAGTTCCTCAAGGGCATTAGCTTTGTGTTAAGGTCATTTATTTTAAAGTTAAGAGGCCTTGTGGATTGAATTGCTAAAACCTTGGGCCACGACACAAGATATGAATTTATGAGTTCATTCTTGATCAAGATAATTTGTGTTCTCACCATTGTTATCTTTTGTTTGCAATACAAGTGGGCTTAGATTGGAATAGGGTTCATTGAAGATTATTGTAAAATATTCATTCAAATAATTCATTCAAAGGTTAAGGTAGAAGATTAGTTGGTTTAAGGGGCAATTAGGAAGTAATGTCCATGGTTCATTCAAGATCAAAGAGCATTAGTCAAAGAAGTTTGAGAACTTCAAGTTCCAATTTGAAAGAGAAGGTTGCTTTGAATACTTGGAGTCTTATCATTAAGTTCAAAGGTTGACAAGATGTAAGAGATCAATATAATCATATAAATTAAAGAGTGTACAAAGGCATTTCAAGTTGAAGATTTTATGATAAAACTTTGACCAAAGTTCACTTTTAGTCCTTTTGGGACTTTGATCATATCAATTCAAATGAAGTGTAAAATAAAAATAAAGAATTGGAAATCCAAATGGAGAAAATGAAGGGAACTTGTTCAACTATATGGGATATCCATACAAAGAGCAGTTATAGTGCATTACAAAAGGAAATTGAAAGACTACATTGGAAAATACATTTTGCAAACAAATCATCAAAAGAAAACTAGGCCCTATTTATAAAGATTCTTCAAAATTGCTCTAGGCTTTCAACATGTAAGCTTCCATGACCTCATGACTCTTTCTTTAAAGCCTCCATTTATTTTATGCTTGATTCCACCTTGCAAGCTACCTCTTCAAGCTTCAAGCAATGTTTCAACCTACAAAATTCAAAACAAAAACCCATCAAATAAACATGTCTATTCAAGCCACAACAATGCACAATTTCAAAAAACAAAGCTAGTGAAAAATTCATCAAGCTCACATACACTGCAGCCACATACAAACACCTTATATACACTTTGAAAGTCTAAAAGGTTGAGTTCAACAAAACCTCGCTATCAAGAAAAGCAGAAGTTGTCTTTGGTTGAGTTGGACTTTTCCATACTGAATGCCATTGGTAAAACATTGAAGGACACTTCACATTACCATGCTAGTAAATTTGCAAATTCTGAAAAGACTTGCTACTGAAAATACTATCTTCATGACCAATCACAATTATATTTCCTGTCATTCATACCATAAGGATGTTAGTTCTTCACCCAGAAGGGGCTGCTGCACCTCACAAGCATCTTGAATCGGAAAAGACATTTTATGAAAGTGATTAAGAAGGACACACTAAACTTCATAACCTGCATTCTATACCAAATCCCATAAATATTCTATGCCATTGATCACACCTTACCATTCAAACAGAAAATTCCAAACAATAACATGTAGTCCTGCAAAACCAGAAACAAGTCACAACACGTCTAAACATACCAATCCAGCTCAGAAGAAAGAACTTGAAATAAAATATACAATAAGCAGCCTATGTCATTTGCAAAACAACAAAAAGTTGAACAAGCCGAGCTAACATCAAGTAAACTAGTTCAAACTTAAACAAAAACTAACATTTAACAGAAATTTAAATTGCTCGCACAACATTTAACTAGCTAACTAACTTACCAGGTCAGTTAACAAATTTCAACAAAGTCCTAACTATTATAACCGAAATGCCAACTCATCAATCTCTTCATAACAGAATCTAACTAACACTTAACAGTTCTTAATCGACTCAAATCCAACCATCCATCTCATAACAGAAAACTCTCAATCCAATGGCTAGTAAGCTTTCATCCCTAACTCTCAATCTCTGCATTTTTTTAGTTAAACCTAACACACTAAACTCCAATGCTGTGTTTTGTTCTTTTGATAACTTCCCATTCTTTTTAGTTTAAAAATAATAAAAGAATAATAATGCTGAATGAGGTTGAGTAAGAGTGAATTGGGCGTATTGGAATTTCGTTTGGGCTCACTTTGTGCCATATCCTTGCCTAGCCCATGACTGTCTTTTTTTGGTGAATGGATACTGTGAACAAAAACTCTCTTGCTGGACTTTTTGGAATGGGCCTAGCTATTGCTGAATCATGCTCCCTGCTTCCTGCTTGCACCCCATGGCTTATTGCACTTTATTTTTCCTTTTGATAATTGTTTCTAGTTTTTTTCTTTTCGATTTTATTTTTCTTCACGTGATAAAATGAAAAGTAATAGAATAAATTTCTTTTAGTTTGAATATTTGTTTGTATGATATTTCCATGATCACTTAGGTTTGTTTTAATTCGATTTCAATATTTGATTAAATTGAATTAGAATTATACATTAGACTTTAAAATCAAGCATAATAACAATTAAGTAGAATTTTCCTTGATCCCAACTTTAAGACCACGATGCATGATAAGATTAGGGCTTGATTTTTTTTTAGATTTTTCTTTCTTTTGCATTGCACTAAAACAAAAACTTTTTCTTAATAAAAAATTTAAAAAAACTTAACAAATAAAGACGTGAATCATATGTCATGAGCCTGTGGTGGAAAAAGGATGAGGCGGTACAGTTCGTACCTTATTCTTTTTTTCATCCATAGTCTTTAGTATGATTTAATTCACAAATCTTTTCACAATAAGTGGAGAACTAGTAAGTGTCTCTTTGGTGGGATCCATTTGTTATTATCTATAACAAAATACAAACAAATAAAATGTGGCATCTTCAAAATGTGAAAATATCAATAACAGTAACGGCATCTTCAAAATGTAAAAATAAAACCGGAGGTACTTCTGATTCTGTACCGATATTATGTTTCTGGTTTTTAGAGTGAGAAGCTTGTGTTCATCAACCGTGAGATGAAGAACGACGACGATCTACGGGTTATGTGGAATGCTTTTATCAGTTTTGAAGAGAAAGTTTCGATCAAGCTAGATGCGACCATTCAAGATCGGTCGATGATATTATCATGATATTGCAACGTCCACGTGGACGTTGATTTGTATTGTTTGATTAATGTTAAAATCCTTAATGTATTTCCTATGTTTATGTTATGAATTGTATTTTGAGTTTGTGATATTGGTGTTATTCAATGATATTTTTCTGGTTTCTATGTAGAACAAAATCAGAAATACATCTCCGGATAAAAATCGAAAATTAAATTCCGATTTCAGTATATAACTTATCAAATTTTAGTGTACACCGAAAATATATTTATAATTTTGAGACATTTAAGAAATTTCGCATAACACGTAAGAAAAACATGATGTGGAATAAGAAATCTCCTTTGAATTAGCTCACGTCAAACGGATTAGACCCAATGGCCCAAGAAATCATTAAAAACCAAGGATTGGGAGGCCACGTGGGGCATAGCATTGAATTTATCAAACTGAAAAGCAGCTGGTTGTTCCTTCTAAGTTGTCAAACATGCCACATTTAAATTTTGCAATGTAGACGAGAACTGATGTCATTCAATATTTGTGCATGGATTTAAGTAATGATAGATGTAATTTGTTACAGTGAGTGACATTACTAGCAGCTCACACACACAGCGAATTCATTAAACCCTTTTAGTTAAGGAGAAAACCCAAATTATAACCATAAGCATAATGTTTTCTCTTTATTTGTACTGTTTTCTCTTTACACCACCACCGTTAACCCTTTCATTTTTGGCTTTGATCTCTCTGGAGGCTCAGGAGACATGGCCTTCCTCTTGCTTATCCCATTACTGTTATTGTTGTTGATGACATCTTCATTGTCAGAAGAATCTGTAGAAATACTGTTACTAGATTCATGTTCATCTGAAGAATTGTCAAGAGATTTAAGAAAGTAAGGTTGAAGCTTCTGCAAATCTGATATCTGAAGAGGCTTCAACAGAAACTCTTCTGCACCTTCTTCCAAGCACCTATTAATCATAATGTTACAAAATGGTAATGCATTAGATATTGGTAACTTTTGAAGATCAACTTTAACTTTATTCTTTCTTTTTTTTCATGAAGGTGTTAGCATGTAAATAAAGGATAATAAAGAGGTAGAAATATATTTTAAAATGTTCGGTTAAGCTAACTCAATTGATAGCTATGGAGAGATATCAATTAGTAGTTGTGCAGAGATATTAGATGTCAGTTAAATTCTCAGCCATTAGACTCCTTCACCATATATTATGAAACAATAATATGATTGATGAAAAAAGAAAACATACATGGTAATTCTGGAAGGTACATTTTCTGAAGACATGATCACAACTGGAACATCTTTCCAAGAAGATCCCTACAAGTAGTGTCAAAAAGAAAAAAACAGGAAGAATAAATAGATAAGAAAAAAGAAAAGAAAAAAGCAAAAGCAAAGCATATAGATCCTGAAATCTGAAACTTTTTCTTTTTCACACTTTCTACTGAAAATTGCAGGATGTACAAATTCTACACCTTCAACTAATGGTACAATCTTCAAACCATTAAAAAATGTTTAATTTTAATTAATCATAATAACTACTTTTATATCAAAATGTAACTAAAAATTGTACTGTAAGTATTTGGTGAGAAAGAGAAAGGAATGTTTGGCATCTTTTTCAGTGTGTGATGTGCATGCATGTTATTGAAGTTAAAAAAGAGAGTGAATTTAGGGAATGTGTCGGAGTAAAAGATGATGACCTTGACTCTTTTGAGTAAATCATAGCCACTCATCCCAGGCATGCAATAATCTGTCATGATCAAATTCACTTTGCCAATTCCCTGCAATTCAAAACAACAAACACAGTCACATACAATCATGAATTACCAAAACATGTACAGATTCAATGTTGATATATACTAAAACGTTTCCGTACAATCGTACCATTTTTAAAAAGAGAGATCTATTATTGTTTTTCTATCTGATTTTTACTTTTCTAGAGAAAAATAATTAGTATTCCATTGTTTATATTTTAATCTCATTCATGTAATATATATATTATATTTTGATCAACTTGCAGCTGTAACTATTACTATGCAATGTTGCGGATGAAGTAGTTTTTGTGATTGCATGGCACCATAACTATTACTATGTGATTTAAAATCATGTAATATTTTTATCAAACTTAAATTTCAAAACTCCAAAACTTAATTTACTTATGTGATAATGAAAAATCTTAATATAAGTGTTTTTAATAAGGTATCACAATATTGTAGCAATCATAATGTCTGCAATCGCAACACGCTTCACCACATCCACTTCACGACTGCAATTCAAAACCATTATACGAATGTGCGTGACCTAGATGAATGGAGAATGAAAATAGTAACAGGCTATTCAATAGAAAGTCCCTTTAATTAGGATTCTGATGAGATTTTCCTTCTTATAGCTATAATTACCATGTAGTACTTAATTCACAAAAAATACATATTTTTGAAGTCTTGAAGCTATAATTTTAGAAGAAATTGGTGTACGGAAACAAATTAAACACCTAGAACATAGAATACTCAAAAAGTTTTCAAATCAAGTTATCAAATCCCAATATATATAAGCTACAACTCCAATTATTGAGGTGAAAATGAAAACTATTAATTACCTCTTGAAGCTGCAATGGTAGAGGAAGAGGAGAAGATGATTCCAATATAGTCTCGGTGGAAGAATCATTTGTATCAACTTCATCAATATTGAGTCCAAGATATTTCAAAGCCTTATCTCCAGAATCCACACATGTAACTGTTTTAAAAAATCAACCAAAACAATTAACAAACCAAATTCACTATCTACAAATACTTTATCAGAACATAACAACCTACCTTTGCACGAAGAACCTCTGAGGAGTCTCTCTAGAAGCTTCCTATCAATCACACTGTCATCTACAGCCAACACATGAAAATGTTGTTGTTCTTCCTTCAAGTTCTGTGGTGGTTGTTGTAACTGTAATTCTCTACCATCCACAACCTCCATATCAGTCTTATAATTAAGAATACTCTTAATTGAAGTATGTATATATTGAGAGAGAGAGAGAGAAAGAGAGAGAGAGAGTGTGGAGAAAAAGAGAGAGAGGTGGAATGTAATAATCTTGTAGTAGCTTTTGTATAGTATAAGTGGGTGCATGAGAGAAAAAACTGTGATGGCACAGTGTAAATGGATGTGTGGTTGTTTTAGTGAAAATTCATTTCATTATTGTGAGAAGATCTTGTCCCTAGATTCTCTCCACCGCTTTGGTACAACTACTTTCTCTCTCATTCCCCTTTCAATTGGATTTTATTTGATTACTAACAAAAACTCAATATCTTTTTCATCATGCTGATGGAAAGAGTGTTGAAATTCGGTTTCTGTGTGTGGACAGGATCCTTTATTTTAATTATTATACTGGTGTCACTTAAATTAATTAAACCCAACTTCTTTTCTAACTAACTTAACTGTTTTTGTCTTAATTTTCATAACTACGTGTATTAAGGGGTGGATAATAGTGTTACTTTAACCTATTTTAGCCTAATATTTCGCTAATAAAGGATGTGTTCAGGGATGACAAGCTGAATCATATTTGTCGGATCCACTCGCACTCGAATCTGAGTCAATGGATGGAAATCCGAGTAGATTGGATTCGGGTTCGGGTGCCACCTGATATTTCGAGTGTGAGTTTGGGTTCACTTAAACCGGTCCGCAGACAAAACCCGAAATCACACTCGCTTAAATATTAAATTACGTAAGTACATCTAAATATATAAAAGTGTAAAAATTTAAGACTTTAATTTTAATTGTAATGTTACTAAATTTGATGGAAAGATGTAATTTAATTCTTTAATTTCTTTGAGAGATCTTGATGAAATTTCTGTGTTTCAAATTTCAATATTTCTGTTGTATTTTTTGTGTTTTTGTTGCGGATTCGGATTTGGGTGGAAAAACCCAAATCCAACAAGTGTGAGCGTGAATATTATTTTGCCACCTAATAACCTTTGGATTTGAGTTTAGGTTCGGGTGGTGATTTCGAGTGCGAGTTTGGATAATGTAAAACCCGCACCCAACCCGACTTGCCGCCATCCCTAGATGCGACCCATGGTCAATAGGATCATTTAACCAATCTAAGTTATTTTTGAGTTATCATAAATTCATAATTTTGTTCACTGCTTTAAAAATTAGAACGGACATCAAATTAGTACAGTTTATTAATTTATTGGCCGAACCATTAAGTTATTGTTCAAATCATATGCTTAAATTAGATTAAACTAGATAACTAGATTGAATATTAATTTCTATAACAAAACTATACCGTTATTAACTCGGTTGAACTGAATAGTTTGGTCTTTAAAAAAAATCACGGACACTTGCTAAATTTTAAAATATTAAAATTTTACAAGCTCATTCTTTAAATTCAAATTCAAAAATATTGGAACATGCAATCACACAATTGATGAATAATGGAGGATTTATGGTATGTGGAGAAGAAGATAATGATGGAGAAGAGAGAGAGAGAGAGAGAGAGAGATAATTGAGGACGGGAATCATTAATTGTATTAATTTTCGATGAGGATGTCTCCAAGGCATTTATAAAAGTGTTACAAAATGATTAAAACCTAAAATACATCACTAAAATACAAGAAAAATAAAAGCCGGGCTCGTAATTGACACTACAAGAAAAACTTTGTCCTGCAAAGTGATTTTGTGACGTGATTATCATGTGGGAAAAAAAGTGTGATTGCGACGTGATAATCATATCACTACATGTTTTTAATATTAAAATAATAAAACTAACAACACACGGAGAGTCAGACATTATTTTTCAAAAAAAAAAGTTGCGACGTGGGAATCACGTCGCAACATAGAAATTAAAAAAAAATAATAAAAAGCTTGTAACGTTCATACAGGGGAAATTTTGAAAATTTGAAATTTTAAGTTGTGACGTGTATATCACGTCGCAACTCTTAAGTGGAAAATTTGAAAAATTAAATGGGAAAGTTGACTGATTGAAAAGTGATAGGGCACAGTCAACTGACAACTTTAATTAGTAATATGGTTACCACATCACAACTTTGTAATCTTTGGAGGGTTGCAATGTGATTTTTACGTCACAATTTGACATAATTTTCACGTTGATATTTCTTTATATGTTCTCAATTTTCGTTCATTCACATTAAATTAATTATTTTTGCAAAAATTCTTCAATCTCTCTTCTTCCTCACCCATATTCATCAATCTCTCTTCTTTAATTCATTCTTTCAATTCATTCTTCAATTTCATTTCATCTTCAATTCAAAGCTATAATTTCAACTCTTTCTTGTTAATTCTTTTTTTAATTTTTAATTTTTAATTTAGTCACTAATTTTTTATGATGATTCTGGAAACTCTGAAGGCGAGTCAGACGGTGAATCTGATTCTGATCCAGATTTTGATGATAATCCAAAATTTGGTGGTGATCATGCTTCTAGAAGGGAAAACTCTAAAGACGTAGGTTCTGGAGGACAAGCTTCTAAAGATGATCATGTTTCTGGTAGAAATCATGATTCTGAAAGTGGAACTTCTGAAGGAGGAGCTTCTAAAGGAAATTCAGCCTTTGACGATGATCATGATTCTGAAAGTGGAACTTCTGAAGGCAGAGGTGATCCAACTTTTGAAGATGGTATTTCTGAAGGTAGTGGCTTTGACTCTGATGATGATTCATACCCTGAGAATTTTCAAGACTCTGAAGACAGTCAAGGTTCTGGAGAAAGTCAAAACTCTGAAGCAAGATCTTCTGAAGGGGAAAGTTCTGAAGGTTCAGTTCAGAGGCAACAAAGAGTCAGAAGCATTCCAAGAAGATTTGCATAGTTTGACATGTTGCTAGACACTGAAGTAAACTCTGAAGGAGAATTTATTCAGTGTGCAATGTTAGTAGACTCTGAACCCGTGAGTACGAAAGAGGCTCTTAAGCACTAAGTTTGGTTACAGGCTATGAAAGAAGAACTTGATGCTTGGAAGCTGACAGAACTTCCAAAAGGCAAGAAAGCCATCAGCGTCAGATGGGTTTTCAAGCAGAAGCTAAAGCCAGATGGATCAATTGGAAAACACAAAGCAAGACTAGTAGCAAGAGGCTTCCTACATAAGCCTGGGCTGGATTACTTTGAAGTGTTTGCACCTGTAGCGAGACATGAAACAATCAGACTAGTGATTGCAATAGCTGCTAACAGGAATTGGCCTCTGATGCATTTAGATGTAAAATCTTCATTTCTGAATGGTCCATTACAAGAAGAGGTGTACGTTTCACAACCTCCTGGATTTAAGAAAAAGAATCAGGAAGGGATGGTGTTCAAATTACACAAAGCATTGTATGGATTGAAGCAAGCGCCCAAAGCTTGGAACTTGAAGATTGATTCGTTTTTCAAGGAACAAGGGTTTCAGAAGTGTGAGATGGAGTATGGTGTTTATGTTCAACACACTTCAGAAGATCTTGGAAAAATGAGTTTCTTTCTAGGGATGGAATTTATATACTCTGAGAAAGGAATCATTTTACATCAGATGAAATATGAAATAGAGCTTCTGAAGAGATTTGAGCTAGAAAATTGCAAGGTTGCTATCACACCTGCTGATACGAATCAGAAGTTGGATTCTGATTCTGATGGAGAGGATGTGGATGCTACAACCTTCAAATAGATGGTTGGTTCTCTAAGATATTTATGTAATATCAGACCTGATATTTGCTATGCAATTGGAATGGTTAGCAGATTTATGAGCAAACCAAAGTGGTCCCATTACCAAACTGCAGTCAGGATTCTGAGGTATGTGAAGGGAACTCTAAAATATGGAGTGTTATTTCCGTCTGGAAGAAAGATCGAATTAGAACTTCTGCGTTATTCTGATTCTGATTGGTGCGGAGATAGAGTTGACAGAAGAAGTACTTCTGGGTACTTATTCAAATTTCTGGGAGGTCCTATTTCTTGGTGTTCCAAGAAGCAACCTGTTGTTGCTCTGTCAACCTGTGAAGCTGAATATATTGCAGGTGCTCTGACTGCATGTCAAGCTGTGTGGATTCTGAACTTGCTGAAAGATCTGAAGATTGAGGTGAATAAACCTCTGAAACTGATGATTGATAACAAGTCTACAATCAATCTTGCCAAGAATCCAGTGTTGCATGGAAGAAGCAAGCATATTGAGACCAAGTATCATTTTCTGAGGAATCAAGTTCAAAATGGAATAATAGAGGTTATGCACTGTAGCACTCAGAAGCAGCTGGCAGATGTTCTGACAAAGACTATCAAAACTGATCAATTTCTTGGTTTAAGGGATGAAATTGGTGTTTTCAGTTTTGGGTAAATATAAATTAAGGGATGGTGTTAGAATTAATTTAGATTTAATTAGATATTAATTTATATTTAGGAATATCTTTTAGATTGTTTATATCTTTGTTAGAAAATATATATCTTAGATCTTCTTATATCTTTGTAGAAGATATATTTTAGATTTAATTTGTGTGTATAAATAGACTAGTGGAATAGGTTATTGTAATTCATTGTAAATCCTTATTTTTGAAAGCTATCAGTAAATATTCCTTTTGCCTTTTATCTTCCTTGTGCTCCAACATATCTTACTAATAGATTGACAAAAATTGATATATTATGACATGTATACTTACCAAGATACATCAGTGCTTGAATTACACTAAAACATGATACTTCTGAAACAAGTAGTTTTTCATCATCTTCTCGAGGTTTGAAAGAATCTTATCAAAATCCAATGGTCTAAGATCATCGGGATATACAATATACGATATTTGTCCACATACGAACGTTTTAACATCTTTTCTATATAAGGTTCTTAATGTAAAAATATACTATTGTCCAGATGATCAATTTGTAAATCTAGACATAACTTTGTATTTTCTATGTCCTTTATCTCAGGTCGTTTTTTAAGAGTTTTTTTAGATTTTAGAATCTTTTTAAGAGTTCCAAGAATTTTATATTATCCACATAGACAACTATTATAGAAAA